TGAATGTATTTCCTGTGCAAAAAATAAGCAAAGTGAAAAGAAAAAGAGCTGAGTTTTAATTCTAACCCATTAGGTAACTTTGGAAGCCTCAGTTTCCCCAGCTGTAAAATGGAGAAAACAGTACCTACTTCGTGGGGTTGTTGCAAGGAGTGAATAGCATGTGAGAGTCTTTGGGAAAACTCTAGGCGCCGTAAGGACTCCTCCTCCAGCCTCCTGATTCCCCCAGCCCTCCCTCCTTCTCACCCCTCCTAGTCTTCCAAATGAAGCTGTCAAGGCCAAACTGTGTGTCTGCCAACATATCCCCCCGCTGGGATTGCCTAACTTGGCCATCCGCCTGCTGGAGCACAGCTAATAGTGTGGAGGAAAAGCCACACTTCGAGGATCTGGGCATCTCAAAGCAGCCAAAGAGCCCTTTTTGTTTTCTCAGGCTCTCAGCTTGCCAGCTAGTTCCACACATTAGAAATATTTTGGGTCAGCACTACAGTTTTCAACCATAGCAGATTCATTTTGTTTCATGATTACTTCCTTATAAGAGCTCTGGGAAAAACTGCACTGGGCCTAGTCCCAAACCACGTTGCTGGCATCGCCAGCTACAGTCAAGATGGTGTCTTTGGGTTGTAATTATAAAAGAAACCCAAATCTCCTGCAACTTCCTAAGGTTTGGTCTTGAGAAAAGAAGAACCCTGCATTGAGTTTCTAAAGGGTTGTCATCACTATGACCTCCAAACTGTTTGGGGCAGGAAGAGGAACTTAGTTCACCATGTTTCTGCCTGTTTGGATAACCTGCTTTTCTCTGCAGCCCTGTGGGATTTTTCTCCTTTACGTGGATATTTATTGAGTGTTGATGAGAAGTATGATGTTGAAGGAGGTACTTTCTTTGTTGCCTGGGGTAAGGTTGCCGGATTCGGCAAATAAAAATACAGGACATTCAGTTAGATGGAAATACCAACTAATAAATGATTTTTTAGTATAAGTAAGTATGTCTCATGCAATATTTGCAGATATTTNCCCAAAGTCCATATATTAGAAGCTTAATTCCCACTGTAACTGTTGAGGGTGGGAAATCCTACTATGGTAATGGACAGGCGAGGCCTCGAAGAGGTGATTAAGTTGATGGTTTAATGGCGGTCGGGGGCGTGGTTCGGAGGGCTTTAAAAGTAGAGCACATAAGAGTCTCTCTCTGCTCTGCTGTTTCTTTCGTGTGAGACCCGTGCATCACCGTTGCCACCACCAAGACCCTCACCAGATGTGTTGCCTGGACTTTGGACTTCCCGACCTCTGAAACTGTAAGCAATAAATTTCATTTTCTTACATAGTACCCAGTTCCGTGTATTCTGTTATAAGCAACAGAAAAAGACAAACACAGTCACCTACTCTCTCCTGAACCCCGTGCCTTCTCTTGCCTGCTATCCCACTTCCAGAACGGGGTCTACACTCCTGGTTCCTGCCTGACCTCTGTGTTCTTCTGTAGGCTCCTGCCTAGACCCGACGACCAGCCAGCATGGCTCCTCTGGGGCTGCCTTACTCCCTGTTCAGCAACAAATCCTGTTTCCCCCTGGAGTTTCTTCTGTATCCACTCTGAGGAATAATTCAGCCTGATTCAGGGTAGCCCTGAGGCCCTGCTCTGGCCCTGGACCCTTGGACACTACTCACCAGGTTTGCCCTGTCCTCTTAAAATGGTTCTACCTGCTGACTTAGTGTCAGGATACAGCTCAGAGAGAAATTTGGGTTTTTAAAAATGCTGTCAGTCTAGAGGCCCTATTTCTGTAAAGCCAGTGGCTTTCATTGAGACCCTGTTATCTGAATTCTGAAGGCAGGAGTAAATGAGCAACTGTGCTGAATCGCATTCAACACCGCTCTGGTGGGCTTGATCTGTTTAGGGGCGGTGGAATTGGGGTGCTCTTCCTGCAGTTCCATTCTGGCTCAGTAGATTCCCAAGAAAGTCTGGGCCAAGTCCTCAGAGAAGCTGTGTCAGCTGAGAAAACAGAATTCAAACTCACCTCTGAGTCACTTCATGATGTCAGATGTCCTGCTGGCTCCTGGGGACCCAGGCTCACTCAATGACTTTGTGCCCTAAGACTTCCTTTCAACCACAGGCCATGTGACTAGGGCCATCTTACCAGCTGGTGGCCACCAACATGGTGTGCAAAATTGCCCCCTATGACTTAGTGATGTCTAACACTCATGTCTTTGGTTTAGGCCAGAGAACATAAAATATCAAAATCTGCGTGTGTTTGCTAGAGCTGCCATAACAATGTACCACAAACGGAGTGGCTTAAAACAACAGAAATGTATTGTCTCACAGGTCTGGACGTTAGAAGTCCAAAGTCAAGGAGTCGGCAGGGCCATGAAAACTGAGGGGAAAATCCTCTCTCCCCTCTTCCTAACTTCTGGTGGTTTGCTGGCTGGTTTTGGCGTTCCTTGGTTTGTAGACATGTCACTCTGATCCTCTGTCTTCATGTGGCATTCTCACTGTCATATGGGCCAAATACTGCCCATAAACATTTGTCGGAGTGAGCAGGACTGAGGCCATGATGGGACCTAAAACCACCTTGGCTGCAGGAGAGGGGGAGGGGAAGATTTTTAAAGAGGACAGTTTTTTTTTCTCTCTCCACTCTTTCTTCCCACCCTCTGACTGAATCTTGCTTGCTAAATAGAAAACAAGGCTGAGAAGGTCATCAGTACTTTGCAAAGTTAATGCTTCTTTCTCTGAGACTTGTAGAGTTTTGAGAAGTGATCAAGGCCAAATGAGTGGAAGCTGACCTTGGCACCAGCCACGTCAGCCAGACTCTGCGAAACAAAATGACACAAAAGCCTGCAGAAAGGATGATTCTAGGCTGGAACAAATCCGAATCTTGCAGGGTCGTGAGCTAACAGTGAAGAGGACAGCAGAAACCAGACGAGGCCTTGGCGAGACCTGGTACCCGACCACGGGCACGGAGCCCTCGCTGCTACGTCCCCTCCCTCCTGCTTTTCATTTCGCACCTTCCATTCCCTCAACCCCCTCTTTAAAACCCCTCAGTAACCTGAGTCTTTGAGGTGGTTTTAGCCTGGCCGTTCTCCCTCAGGTTGACTGGAGAGGTAGGGTAGCCTAACATCTCCCCTCAGGTCACTGGTGTTCCTGAATAAAAGCTGACTTCCATTTTCACCAACATTTGACTTCTGTTTGTTTGGTTTTGGGGGGAAGGCAGCCAGACCTATGAGTTCAGTATCGATTTTGGGGAGTCTAAGCAGGACCTACATGTGCTCCTCAGTTTTAAAAAAACTGATTGGTAGCTAACAGATAAAAATCAGAAAAGTTTACACAAAAATGTAGATTTTCCCCTCAGGTCACTGGTGTTCCTGAATAAAAGCTGACTTCCATTTTCACCAACATTTGACTTCTGTTTGGTTTTGGGGGGAAGGCAGCCAGACCTGTGAGTTCAGTATCGATTTTGGGGAGTCTAAGCAGGACCTACATGTGCTCCTCAGTTTAAAAAAAACTGATTGGTAGCTAACAGATAAAAATCAGAAAAGTTTACACAAAAATGTAGATTTCCATAGGTCTTTGTAATTGTGGCCACCGTTTAGGCTTTGCTGGAGAGCAGATGACAGTCTTGTCACAGACATGAGTGTAAATGGGTCTGTCATATTCTTTTCCAAGAATAAACACAGAAAAAGGTGGAAGGAACAGGCTCTGGGCACTTGAGGTGGGAAGTGACAGCAGATGTCACCATGTGGATCGGTGATGAAGGGAGGGTGCAGAAAGCCTAGAGGCAGCCATGGGCAGCCAAGCGAGCCCCTTGGTGGTTTGGGGCAGGCCGGCTGCACACGCGGAGATGGACGTCTGAGACTCAGCCCCCTGTGGCCTTGACACTAAGCTGCTATCCTGATGCTCAAATCAGCGTCTTCACTCCCCCTGGCTGTCTGCAGAACCATCCATCCAACCTCTCAAGGATTTCCTACGTCTCTGGCAATTTCCTCGATCACCAGAAAAGGATTTGCAATGGATATTTTTGGAAACTTTTATAACCTGCACAAGTTTTGGCGGAGGAAGCGTTTGTTGCTGTTCAGGACGGTGCAGATTTCCATCTGGTTTCACATGGTTTCCGTGACTATCCACACCCCACCAGTTAATTAGAGTTCTAATTTTCAGTAATATTTCTCACATGAGCAATGTTGGTACTACTTAGAGCCTTTGCTGAGAAGAGTTCCACAAATTGCTGTCTTTGTTTGTTTTTCTGTTTATAGAGCAGAGAGTGCAGTCATTTGTTTACATCCTTGCTCGAAGGCAGCACCAAGTCTCAAGTTCCACTTTTTAGTTTACCCAACACTTTGATTTTCCTGGTTAAGAACCATCAGCTGCTGATTTTGGGTTTTTTTTCTTTCTTCCCACATGAATACATAGCATTTGGCTTTTTAAGGGCTATGTTCTACAAAGCTACAGTCTTTTAAAGCTTTTTTGTGGTTTTTTATTTTTTATTTTTGGCAACTGGCTGGTACAGGGATCGAACCCTGGACCTTGGTATTATTAGTCCCATGCTCTAACCAGCTGAGCTAATCAGCCAGCCCTCAAATTGTTTTAAATTAAAGTATAATATGTCCACAAACTAAAAGGTTATGGCCCCTTCCTAAGAGTTGGTGTCTATGGGGGACACCAAGGATGGTAAGGGTGGGCTGAGTTTTAGCTGCTGGGCTCACAGTGAGGCCAGCCTACAGGGAGTCCCCGCCTTCTGGATGTATGATGTGTGAGATGCTGGCAAGTGTGTTACCTGGACGGCCCTGGGAGGTGGACATTACAATCGGCCACATGCTAGAGATGGGATGGCCAGAACTCAACCCCTAAAAAACTTGCCCAAGCTACTGAATGGGCAGAGCAAACATTTGAACCCAGGCTTCTGTCAAGCAACAAGGCTCAGTTCTTAGCAACCACCCTCTCCTGTCTCCTGACCGGTGCCACACACCCCATGAAAGTCGTGGAGGAAACACGTCCTTTCATGGGAAGGTGGGGAGGTGACAGTGGGGGTGGGGAGTGAAGATGGCACACTTCTTACTTTATTTGCTTGTGTATTATTTGACTTTGATCCAGGACCAATTTATTACCTTGATAATTTTTGAGAAGCAACAAAATATTAAAATTAATAAAACAATCAATATATAAAAATAAGTATTTGAAGCCTAAAAGATAATAAAAGAAATTGGGGACTCAGCAAAACTGCCTTATTCTCTGTCATTTATTTTTATAATCTTTTGAGAATAGTGGAAATTGCCATCGTAAATCAATGGACATTCAGTAAATCAATGTGGCGTTAGCTTAGCTGTGTCATTCTTTGAACAAAATTCAGTTCTAGATTTTGCCTCAGTGTGTCACTGCTTACTTAGGACTTTTTTCCTTGTATAATATATGAGGGCACTTGAACAAGTTCATGGAAAAAAATCGTATTGTCTTTCAATTCTATTTTTCCATGAATTTTTTGAATATAAGGTGGCAATCCCCTTCGGGACACTGAAACTGGGTTCCTGTTCGTCTTTTACCGTCCACTCTCGGTGGCATCTTGAGCACACTGAATAACATTTTTATCCTGGGCAGGCATTGTTGGATCTGTTTGAAAATAAGAGCAATAAATCTTTTTTGCTTAGAAAAATAAGTAAATGAAAAATAATAAAGAAATAAAGGTTACATGGGAGGAGAAACATACAGTACACTGCTTGACTCAACAGTAAGCATTTACATAGTTAAAATAATATAAAATGGGCCATTAATGTATAAATATATTGGAAGGATGAAGGAAGGAAAATAGAAATATGTTGTGTAGGGAAGGAAAAACTTTTCCTCTACCCTCTTAGATTCTATGATTGGAGCCCTGCAAATTAAACTGACAAAAGACAGATTAGCAAAAGAAAAGACAGATTTAATTACATACATATGGGAGTTCACAGAAAAATGTGATTTGAGGGGGTGGTTATAATCTGGGCATTATGTACCATCTTAATAGGAGATGGAGAGGGGAGATGGGCTATCACACAAAGACAAGTGACTTTTAGGAAAGATAAATGCGTTCTTAGGAGAATAGATGGGAGATATGATAGTTTTGTGACACTATCTGTTTAGGTGTGGTGACAACTTCTCATTGTGTCTGGTGCAAGAGTAAATTTTCTCTGGTTGCTCCTGGGAAGGGGATTTATGACAATTGAGTTCTTTTGGGTGGCTCTGTTTTTAGGCAGATAAGGGATTTTAGGAACTCAAATGACTTCTGCTCAAAATAATTTTTATGCACAGTGGTGTACTCTGAACCCTTTAGTAGTCATGTTAAGTTCAAAATCCTGTCAAAACACTGTATTTAAAGTTAATATATACCAGAGGCATTGCTAAAATGGTTCAGAGTGTCGTTCCTGGGAGTGGGGATTAGGGTGGGGTGGGAGACCTGTTTTTCATTACAAACACATAATTTTTTATTGTTAGGGTTCTTAGTTAAGACAACAGAATCCACTCTAGCTTTTGTTCTTAAGACAGGAATTTATTAAGGAATGTCTATAACTCCTGAAATCATGGGGAGACCTGAAGAGGGAGACTCTAGATTGTGTTTCCACAGTGGTTCCTCAGAGACGGCCACCAAAGGAGCGATGACTTCTACCATGACCGGGGCTGCCACGCCAGATGCCCATGGGCCAGCTGTCAGAAGCAGCCTGGGTCTCCTCACCACAACCTGCATCTGCCAAATGCAGTCCTCACACCTTGCCTCTTCCACACTCCTCAGTTCCACGTCAACAGCATACAAAAAGCCCATGGGGTGGGCAGAGCGCACCCCATGTGGTCACACCTTCACAGTGAGGGATCCTGGGAAGGCCAATGATTGAAAATGCTCAATAGGGCATGAAGCCCCAGTGGCCTAATGGATAAGGCACTGGCCTCCTAAGCCAGGGGCTGTGGGTTCAAGTCCCTCCTGGGGTGAAGTGCTTTGGCCTCCTACAATGCTCTGTTGGGAAGTTAGGTCTACCTTGTGGGAAACTATTCAAAAGAATTTTCTTCTTTTAGCCTAGTACATATACTGTGTGACTTTGACAAAAACGAAAATAAAAAAGAAAAGGGTTCTGTAATCTTTAAACACAGCCAACTTCCAGACTTGCCAAGCACTTTTGTTTTATGGGATGACTTGGCATTTGCATGTGGGGTGGGTGGAAAATTATTCAAAGGTTTGGTTTTTATCTGACTCCATCTTAAAGGATGCAGAATAGCCATCTTGCTGGCTACAGTTAAATAGAGAATAGGCCATGAGCGATGCCTTTAGTTAGGAAAGAAAGGCATTTGGGAAGCCAGTGCCTTCTTCCTCAGGGTCTTGTTACAGGCTCATACCCCCAACCTCCATGCTTTCCAAGTCCCCTTAAGATCCAGATCTGTATCAACATTTCAAACTTGATTATCCTAAAAGCAGTCATCTGAAATGGCTTCGTGTTTTTGGTCAGACAGCTCACTGAGTTTCCCCTGAGGGAGAGGTGTTCATGAAAGAAGGAAGAAGTTGTACACACTAAGGGGCATGTTTATAGCAGTTGGAGCTAAAAAAAAAAAAAAAAAAAAATGCAACCAGTCTAATTTTAAAGCTTTGTATTTGGTGTGAGAACCTCTGAAGAGCAAGCCCTAGAAAGCAAAGGAACAGAGTTAGGGGAGGGAAGAAAAGCCCATTCCTCACAGAGACCTCTAAAAGACAATATTACTCTAGCAAAACTGTAAGAATGCTGGTCAGAACTCAATCCACCCTTGTGGCCTTCAAAGCTCTGGCTTTAATAGTTATAATCTTTCCCTACACAGGTTGCTTAGCAACTGAGGACTGGAAAAGAACAGAATGCTATGCTTGTGTAAGAGGGATGACACCAGCAACCCCAATGATAAGCAACAGGAGGCTGCCAGGCACCTGGGAACCTTCCTACTTCTTCAGCCTTTCTCTCTTTAGCATAGCTCCACTTCATTTCTAAGTCCTTTATAAGCTTCAACTTCCCACCACCACCTTCCAGGGTTACAGAGAAAGCAGCTGCACAGCACCTGGATAGATACTCCATTCTCTGTAAGTAACTCACCCATCAACAACAATAATAAACTCCTTGTAAACTATATGTGGTGGCCTGCTTTGTTCTTTAGTCTTAAGTACCTTCTCAGATGGGCACTATACTTTCAGCCTCACACTTGAACACATGGGTCTGTGTTACCTACGAAAATGGACACTCCAGAGTTAACTGACCACAGGCAGACTGGGGTGTCTCTTGGGTATGTCTCACTTCCATGCAAGTTGGGTTATGGATCACAGAACAAAAAGGGGAAGTTCAGGAGAAGCTGCAGGAATCATATGGGTGGGAGAAGCTGCTATATGATCTGCAATCCCATTACTGAGTATATATCTGAAGGGATGGAAATTAGTATATCAAAGAGGTGTCTGTACTCCCATGCTTACTGCAGTGTTATTCACAATAACCAAGGTATGGAATTAACCTAAGTACCCATCAACAAATGAGTGGATTTTTAAAATGTGGTATATTTACACAATGGAATGTTATTCAGTCATAATAAAAGAATGAAATCCTGTCATTTGCGGTAACATGGGTGAGCCTGGAGGACATTACATTAAGTGAAATAAGGTCAGGCACAGAAAGAGAAATACCACATGTTCTCATTCATATGTGGAGTCCCAGAAAATTGATCACACAGAAATAGGGAGTAGAATAGTGGTTACTAAAGGCTGGGGAAAGGTAGGGAGGAAGGGGGACAGCGAGGTTTGATTAATAGGTACAAAATTACAGCTAGACGGAAAGAATGAGACCTAGTGTTGTATAGCACTGGAGGGTGACTATTATTAGCAACAACTTATTATATACTTGCAATTAGCTAGAAGAAGGATTTTGAATGTTCCCAACACAAAGAAATGATAAATGCTTGAGGTGCTGGCTATGTTAATTAACCTGATTGGATCATTACACATTGTATTCATGTTATAGAAATATCACACAGTACCCCACAAATACCTACAGTCATTATGTGTCAATTAAAAATTTTTAGATAAAGAAAAAGGAAAAAAAAAAAGAGATAGGGCCTGCCTCAGAGAGTCAGACAGGACTGAGGAGACTGACCAAGCAGGGTCTTTGAAATAAATAAAGGGATTTTTTTTTGAGAGAGAGAGAGCTAAAAAGAAGCACAGTAACATGGGAGCTGGGTGTAGGCGGACGTGCTTCTCTTCCCCCGGTTTCCATGCACTTGGTCAGGTGGATTACTCACGGTGGCCAGCTTGCGGCTTCAGCCTTTGCCCTGGGGAGTTGGGCAAGCGCTGTTCTGAGGATCAAAAAAAAATGAAGAAGCCTTGCACCCACAGGTGGCTATAGGTGGATAAAAGGGAAAGGAGGAAGCACAGTGCGCCTCCCCAGCTAAAAAGAAGCACAGTAACATGGGAGCTGGGTGTAGGCGGACGTGCTTCTCTTCCCCCGTTTCCATGCACTTGGTCAGGTGGATTACTCACGGTGGCCAGCTTGCGGCTTCAGCCTTTGCCCTGGGGAGTTGGGCAAGCGCTGTTCTGAGGGTCAAAA